TGATTATAAAAAGGGTTTTACAGGTGGTGCACAATATAAATTATCAGAAATATACGACTGAAGTTGTCTACCGAGAATAAAGATTTACCGGCATTACATTACATCGTTATTGACAAAGAAATAACGCGGATTTTAATTTACCGACTGGATCCTAAGAAAGAGACGTAAATAAAAAATATGTTTAATAAAAGCAAAAACTTCAATGGATGGTTACCGAAATGGGTGCCACAGGTCTAGCATGAAATATTTATCTATTACTTGCACTTGTGTCGTTCTGTTATTAAAAAAAATTATTAAAACTAAAAATATGTTTATGTATGCACTTACATTAAAATAGGTAGTTAAAGAAGTTGCGAGAAGTGGCTGATGAAAAATGTTCCCCCAAAATACCTACTCAAAAAATATCAATCGATGCCAAATTTTCGAGTACATTGTTTACTCTGGAGTTGGGCCAACACGGAACTTAAAGAGAGACGAAGGGCAATATTGAAACAACACTTCATTCTGGCGAAAGTCTAAACCGGTAGTAGAATGAAACAGATACATCAAATGAAATAGGCCTGCGATTAGAAACTTCTAGAGTTCTAGTAAGAATAATAAAATATGCCAGTATACTGTTTTACAGTTTTACAAAAATAGATCTATAATATTACAATGAAGATAATGTCAGATCTGAGATCAGCGGTACTAAAACAAAATTTAAAAACCTAAAAGAAATCCGTTTCCAGTTTATGTGTTCTAATAGAAACAATACCGGTTATTGAGGAGGGTGCAAATCGATCAAGCCAATAGCTTCCATAAAACATAATATATAATATATATATATTATGCGAATGGCAGGAACAATGAAAACCGGGAGCGTAATTCTGCATCAGAAGTATTACCGGCAAGGCCCAAGAGTGAGGAATGAGGAGTGAGGTGTTAGTGGTTACTAGCTGTTACTGGCTGTTACTGGCTGGACATGAGAGTTATTTGAATAATAAGTGTTTTAAAAGTTGGCGTGGTAAACCCCACTGTATGCCAGCCGGCAGGGTATGCTGAGTTGCTGGTGTCAAATAAAAGATCATCACAATCCGGCAGAAGTTGTAGCCAGGTAGGATTAGCGGAGGATATAAGCGGAGGATTAGACTGCATATCAGTATTATATCGATGAGAACGCAGCAAAGAAACAGGACGGTTTATAATTTATGAACTGAATCCTGAGAAAGGGTCGTAAATTTAAAACATTACAATACTTAATGTATTGTTATATATAATTAATTCAATAGGTTCCGAGCGACTGTAAAACGCGGGGCATTATAAATTTAGCTTGGCAGTATACTAGTATATATATAATGAACCAACACCATTTTATTTTTAACACTCTAAAGTGTTAAACACGGCCCACACGGAGTCTACTAAAATACTATAAAATATTCACACTTAACAATGTTAAACGCTAACAAGGAACACTGGAAGTACGGGATGAACAAATGAAATGTTATTAGTCAACGTCAGCAAGATCACGGGTAATTATAAACATCACGACTCACGACTTCACAGGACGGAAGAGACAGGTATCAACACGAAATACTGAGAGCCAGCCTTAATGATCGGTTTAAGACGCATATTTAAAGTTAAAGTCGGCCAAATCTCCACAAAGGCGACACTGAAGAGGCGGCCATCACTAAACGATTATCTTGACAAGTTGTTTTTTTGAGTGGGAAAACAAATGGCCTGCTTGATTGCTTGAAGAAGATACACTTTAGGATAGTGAGATCAGAGTGAAAATGTGAGAACAGTGTGCGGTCTTAGTCTTTCTAGAGTAAAAAAGCTGCGGCAATAGGTAGGTCAAGCTGCTTAACAAGAGGTTCACAAATTACAAATAATAACCGATTTATGAATTGTCATTCAAATTTGGAAAGACTGCTGGCGCCGATAAACACATTTATATGATAGTTATGGTATAAGATTAGCAACCAAAACGACTTGTTATTCAAGATTATACGAAAAGCCACCGACGAAGCGAAAGGGCGAGGGAAATGAGAAACTAAAGTTCAAAGAATTGTCAACACTGAAAGTGCAACGGCAAAATGAGTTATATTTAACATACCACTTTTTGAGGCTTCAAAACGACCAGAGGAATGCTCATTTCACCACGTACGGCTTTAAAAAACGCTGAGGTAGGAACACGCACGGTAGTGTTAAATCATCTTTCTGGAATATTCATCCTGTCTGGTATGTGGTCGGGAGGTGAAGATAGATATATTTGCACCTCAAACTTCAAAGACATATGATGAAATCTAAAATTTACACCAAGTGAAAATGTGGCTCACATTTTAACAGTACACGCCCGCGAGGGCGGTGTTATTAGGGTTAAATAATTACCCTAATTTAGGGGAAATTATCCAATTTTCCTGAACCTTTTTTGAGTATTAACAACTGTAAAATGTGTAAATAAAGTCAAACCTCTCGATACCCGGGCTCTTCTTTTCTCCCAAACTTTAAATTAATTAGCTAGTTTTGTTTTGGAAGAAACGTGATTTGTCATAGGTTATTTCGCATTTGATGGTGATCTGAGTACAGATTCCATCGCAATCTGACGCAATTTGAGAGGCTTTGGACTGAGAAAAGACAGACTCTAATTATGTTTATTCCGTCTAGCTTTAATCTAATTTCACCACCAATCTTCGAACAATGACCAGTGATTGTCTATTATCTCATTCTTCAGTCTTCAGTCTAGTTTCATGGTCAGCTGCAGCTGTTGTTACTTACCAAATCATAATACACGAGTACCTTATCAGCAGCAAGCTAGCCACTTCACTGAACTCCCTAATTAAAAACGAGTGATCTGTTGATGAAAATCAGTTCACAGTTTACTTTTTCAGTTTTTCCACGCTCCGTTTTTAAACTCCGTTTCTAAACTCACTTATAAGTTCAATGAATAATAATTAATGATAAAATTAATATAAGAAATTAAATTACTTAGCACTTCTAAGCTAACAGTCGGACTAGCAATAAATTGTACGTGACTCATAAGTAATAGGTAGACGGTATCATAAATACCTCCAATATTTGGTCATATATAGTAGCGTTGAAGGTACCAAATAGTTTAATAATTATCTTGGTATTTTGCGTCACGTCTCAGACTTTCAGGTATGAATATTTTCCTATTAGACTGACTATACTCTCTTGTAAGACTACTGACGTGCGTAGCCACATAAATGCTCCCCATCCTATTTTACTATGTGTTAAAACTAGATATTTTACTAAGTATTTTACTTTGATACACATTAAAAAATTGTATACGTTTCTAAAGAAATTATATTGGTAGGATCTAAGTAACAACTTACAATGTTGACCCAAGCCAGTACCCCAACATTGTTACTGGCTTATTTTCACGGAGGCTGTGAATCTGTGGACATATTGACAAGGAAGCCATCTCGGGGGGAAGGGAAGCCTAGATGTTCACCTCGTACAGCCCATTCTCAATGTCACATACTTGCAAAGGTTCGGAGACCTCAAATAACTAGCTCTCTCCGATGAGAGGTCTGGCAGATACCCGTGCCCAGACTGCGTCGCCTCCCCCCTGCGCACGCCCATGTTTCCAGTGACCCTCCACGCGTGACCCAGGGTTTGGTATGCACAGTAGCAACTGAACACTATAATATACACACAATACTATTATCTTCTATTACTAATATTATCTTAGAGAATTTTAAACTTATTATTATTAACATTGTAAATGTAACCGCTTAACTCCAGCCGAACATTATAATATTAGTTTACGATTATTTGCATTTGAGATTCTGCGATTAAATTTATTTTGTTGATTGTAATGTTATGATATTGCATAATTTATTGTAAATGTAATATATGTTTCAGAAAATTATGTAATGTAACGTGATGGAGGTTCTTTAAGCGGGAAATTCCAGTCCAAACCCTGGAAACATGACATAAAGGATTTGTTTTACTTGTTGCATGAAAAGCACTAATACACACAATACTATTATAAATTATAGTATCAAATAACTTTAAAGTTTAAACCTATTATTATTAACGTTATAAATTTAACATTTTATTTTCTGCGCTTTTCAAACTCACTGTACCGTGATGAATTATTGATATAAAAATAAAATTTGTTTTGTTATTTTGCCGGTACTAGCAAGTACAAATATTTTACCGTATTATAGAGACATCATATTGGAATGTGGTGGTGAGTGACCACGTTCTAAAATTGGAGGTACTTGCTAATTATAGCGGGTACTTATTTACTAAAGCATTATATTTATATAGTCCGATATAAATACAATCCAATATTCGTAAGACAGATTCTTTTTGTTGACAGAACATTAATTACACTAATCTCAATAAGTACATAACTAATAGGGTCAGTAATCATAATTTAGTTACTGATTACTAATACGCTAGTAATAATTTGACAAGCTGAACTCTTTTACAATACAGTTAGTAGTCCAGCAGACTAATTGATGTTCACTGATACTTACGGAGACAGACAAATATGTAAATATTACTAATCGGCACTTACCAAACCTAATCAATACTAACTTTAACTTACCAAGACAGACTAATTAATACTAACATTGACTTACTAAAACAGACTAATTAATACCAACATTGACTTACTAAAACAGACTAATTAATACCAACATTGACTTACTAAAACAGACTAATTAATACCAACATTGACTTACTAAAACATACTAATTAATACCAACATTGACTTACTAAAACAGACTAATTAATACCAACATTGACTTACTAAAACAGACTAATTAATACCAACATTGATTTACTAAAACAGACTAATTAATACCAACATTGACTTACTAAAACAGACTAATTAATACCAACATTGACTTACTAAAACAGACTAATTAATACCAACATTGACTTACTAAAACAGACTAATTAATACCAACATTGACTTACTAAAACAGACTAATTAATACTAACATTGACTTACTAAAACAGACTAATTAATACCAACATTGACTTACCGACGCTCCAAGGACGGTGAAGACCACGCAGGAGTCTTTAGAGAATATGGGTTTGGAAGCCGCTCCATTCTGTATAGCTTCTAGTGCCTCCATGTTAATCTAGAGAGATAACGGAGTGGTTTAATTTTTGAGAACATCTTTACAAGTAGAGGTTTTAGAAACGAATAACAATATTAAAGAATTTAAAGAAATGCTTGTGTCATGCTGATAAATTCTTACAGTATAAACTGCAGGTAAGATAAGCAAAATTAACAATACTGCAAAGGGATATAAAAGTCAAAACGACACAAATTACCCTTCACTCACAACTTTATGGTTTCAGTAAACTTATAACAGGGAGAACACGTACGACAAATTGGTTTGTTTAAATCCCTTGGCGGAGGGTGGCAATGCATAATTAAATAATAAATAAATTCTAGTATTTACACGCTTCAAAATTAAAGGCATACCCAAGAAACACGGACTAACGAAAGATATCAATACCTATATTGAAATAGAAAATAGAAGCAAAATATGTGATTGCACAGATTGCTGTGAAAAAAAGCCAAAAGGTGGGAATAAAATCTAGCTTTCTTGATACGATAATAAATAAATTAAAAATTCGATGATGGTTTTTGTTCATCAATTATTCAAATTACTGAAGTCAATAGTCATGCAAATATATTTCCGAACGTCACAGTATGATTTATCAAAACGTTGATCAAACCGCTCAGGTCTCTCCTATAGAAATTCTCAATTTAAACTGCCGAGGGTAACAAGTAACATAAACAATCCAAATATATTATATGCTATTTCACAGATAAAATACACAAAATACGAATTATATGGGCCATTTCACAGATACAATACACAAAATAAGAATATGCCATTTGACGGAGGTACGTTCAAATAAAATGGGTCCAGTAAGTGAAATAAAACACCCCGCCACTAACAGGCCAGTTTTTATCACCAGCAATAAACACAATAGCTTGCTAATTACTTCGGAGGCGGGGTACAATGCCTCCCAGGTATTAGCCTCAAGGCAGCTGCCAAACGTTAAGCACCTGTGTACAGTGGCTATCGTCTAGCTCTTTTCAGCTGACAAAAGTTTGTGAAATAGCTGTTAACTGGTTCCCTGGGCTGGGTCCATTGTGCTTCGAGAATTTCTTACAGTTAACCAGTAAGTAGCGGGGACAAAGAACTCGAACAAAACATTTAGGGAGAAAAACATTCATGAAAAAATGTTTAAAAGTGACAAAGCAGGGAGTGCGATCACGTGTTCACCCGGACAACCATATCACCCAGGCAACTATATCACCCAGACAACCATATTATCGCAGGACAATAGTGGGTCGCGTGTGTTGTTGTAAGGTTATTATAACAATATAACGCTATGGTGGGTTGTGGTCAACATAAAGCATATATTTCTTAAGAAGGAAGGGTCAGCCATAGCCGCATAGCGTTTCAGTGCTACTTGTAACAATAACAGTCAGATATTATATACTCCAATCAATACTACGGCCACAACTCATGTTATTATCAGTATTATACAGTTAGCTTTAGAGTAATATCTGACGACTATTATGATGCTAGAGATGCTGGATCATTTCCTAAGTAACCGAACATTTACTGAAGAGAGGATACCTTGCACATGTAATTAAAGAACCCAACAATGGTGATATAAAATGCTATGAACTGACAAGATTGCAGTATTTAGTAACGATCACGATGACAACATTTATAACTGTGCTGAGATACCCACCTGTTTGGAAGTGTGCATGGTAACCATGGTAACACTGAGCTCTGATACACATCACTGATGACGCATTCCTTATCTTAGAAAGGTATAGTAATGATAAATATTGTGTTTAGTAAGTATCATGTTTCAAATTGTGTTATACAAACATGACAGAAAGATAAATATTAGGGTTCATGTGATGGAGCACTGGTTCTACTGAAGCAACTGCTTATCTTAGTTTTTATTTTACTTCAGTATTCAGAATATTGGTATTTGGCAGCCCTGTTGTTTAAATGACTTACAGAATATATATTGAATGCCAGGAGGGATTTCTGAAGTTCTACTCTATTCCCCAAATCGTGTTATATACATATTATGTATTGTTACCTCAACAGATTTATTAGACAGAGCATCAAAACATCAAATATTGAGTAGGAATCATCGCCAATTTCACGATAAACCTTTTTATTTGATTTGCAAAGAATCAATAAAACTCATGATAAATGACAAAGATGTTTTTCTATTCTTGCCGTTGTCGCCATTTTCACCATGACAAACTATTCAGAAAATTACAAATAAGTCGTCAGTGGCAACAAAAATTGTGAACAAAAGCATGCCTTTATTGCCATGAAGAAATTCACAGGATTATACATATAACACAAATCAATGATGGATCCAAACAATTCATAAGACACATAATTTGATTAATAAATGACATGCAATTCATTGACGTACTAATAACTCACATAAGCTGGCCACTGGCCCAAACTTTATGCAGTCATAAGATAATATTATGTTAATTATAAGAGAATACCTGTTCAACTCTTCTTCATGCTACTTTACAGATTCATAAAATGTTTTTTTTTTAATGTTTTTTAAGTATACAATGAATATAATACACTCACCTCAAGGGAGATCATAGTTCTTCTTTTTTACAGAAAACTTCAGATGTAATGGTGGCAAAAAGAATGCTCAGAAATATAACAGAAAATCACACAGTGGTACAAAATTGTTTCTTAAAAGCTCGCTAGATAGAAAATAGTGAAATCTAAACCATTGATAGGCTCAAAGAACATGAATGTAGCTTTATGTCCATAGAGATTCTAATGCTACTGTACAAATGATTTAGTAACTTAGAGTAAACAATTATAAATACTGTGGCAGATTTTGATACCATTATGATTTAAATACTAAGCAAAGGATAATCTGACTGCTTTGAGCAACCAAATTATTCCCCCAAATGTTTAAAATTAACGATTTTCTCCCATTTTTGTTTTTCAACCCAGTATAGGAACTATTAGAATCTATAAGCTACAACAAAATAGTTTAAAGCATCTTTTTTGCTGTGAATTTCCTATATTAGAGTTTATCATATGTATTGATTGAATAATTGGTAATAAATTTAACTTTTGTTCAATCAACTTTTGTTTTATTACTTTTTGCCAATGTAATATATCACAAACAAACCTTTTTCCAGGTATGAAAAAGCTTAAAACATTGGACAAAATAGAATAAACTAATTAATCCATCAAATAAATCTATCTAAGTCCTGAAACTTACTAACTTGTACTTGAAAAGGTCTCCTTTTAATCGTTGAAGTGGCCTGCACCAATGTACCCCAGTACCCTGTCTGTTGCTTGTTGCTCTGCTTCCATTGTGATATTAGCCTCATTCTCTAGGGCAGTACATGATAACCAGTTCTTGCGAGGTCTGCCTCTAGACTTTTTGCCATTCTTTGTGATCCAGTGCAGAAGATAGTTGGATATTTTCTCTTCTGGCATCCTCAACACATAACCAAACCATCTGAGCCTAGCTGCTTGTACACAAAAGTATCAACAGGGGCGTTGTTGGTATGCTTGAGTACATCAGCGTTAGATACACGATAGCAGTGGCGTAACGAAGGGACCCGCTGAATTGTCGTTTGAATGTGGGACAATTTTGAAAAAAGTAACTTAAGTACTAGCAAAACTGCACATTTTGCTCTAGAAACATATCTTTTTAGAGATTTTACTGGCGTATCCGCTAAAATCACATAATTTGTCCAATTTTATCTTTCCACTTTATGAGGTGGAGGAGGCTCCAACATGCAACGTTACACCATTTGATTTTCAGGATTCTTCTTTGACACATCTTTGACGGAACCAGTGGCGTAACAAAGGGCCCCGCCGACCTTGCTTTACTGGGCGGCGCTCAGCCTGTCATTCCGCCTAATCTCATATTGTTTATGAACATGATAGCCTGAGGTTCCCAGGTAAACTCCGCTGTGCGGGGGCGCCAAATCATCGTTTCAATGTGGGACAATTTGGAAAGACTTGACTACGGTATTAAGATGATGATGAAAATCTAAATAATATAGGCTACAATGGGCATTTTAGTAACAGATAGTATGATATGTTTATTGCTCTGATGTATGCAATGAAATCACAATGGTTGTTATCAATCTATCTGAAAACGTATATAATTTGTAATGCAATACATTATAGAATAAATGCAATTAGAAATATCAATAACAGTTCCTATCTTACTAGAAAGATTAACTGAAAACTATACTAGGAAAAGCTAAGCACAGTTACAAAGTGTAACACTCTACTCACCACAGTAGAGTTCAGGGTGATCTTGCTAAAGGGGAAAGATTGGTTAGAACATGATAGATCTGAAATTTTTTTAAATAAATAAAATCCCTAAAAAATATTTACACCCCAGGCCCAAGTTAAAAATATAAATACTTTATTTCAAAAACACTATCAAATAAGGTGGTTGATCAGTCACTTGTGTCATTACGAGGACGTCGTTATATCAAGTCAAAACATTCTACGGTATTAGCAATTAGCAAAACTGCGCATTTTGCTCTAGAAATACACTTTTTAAGAGATTTTACACTTTACAGGTGTTACCTGAAAACACTTTGTCCAGTTTCAGAACAGCCTATCAAATAATCAGTCAAGCTCGAAAGCTGCGACAATCAGAGAAGTTCAGCTCAGTCTTCATTAGTCCAGACTGCTTTTTGGAGGATCGAGTTAAGCACAGACTTCTTGTTCGAAACCTGCATTATAAGAAGAAAGAATCTGAGCCAAACAAGCACCACTACATCAAAGGAGGGACAATTCATACTGAATTCATACTAAATTAGGAAGTTTCCAAAAGAGAGCTATTAAATGGATTCTGTCTGAAGAGGGCCGCAGTTATCCACCTGAGCAATATGTCAAAAAGTGCAAGCTTGTCGACATTCTCCCTTTGTCTCAAAAGTTTGACTTGAATGATCTTATTTTTTTCCACAAAGTTCTTACCAATTTAATTCCTGTATCGCTGCCTCACTATCTCTCTTTATATCAGGGCACTTCTCGACTAAGACGTTGCCACCTCGACAGTCTGTCTATT